CCAGACAGTTCAAGAACTTTGCTGACAGCAACGTCTAGGACACCATCTTCTGAAACCACTGTACCTGAACCTACTGGCGCCACAGGTACAAATGATTCTTCAACTAGCCTCCCAAAAGCAGCCACTTGGACACTATCTGCTGAAACCACTTCAAGTTCAGCGTCCGGAGCAACAGAGCCAAGAGAGAGTACAAGAAGTATGATAACATCTAGGACACCATCTTCTGATATCACTACAAGTGCACGTTCAGGATCAACAGCACCACCAGACAGTTCAAGAAGTTTGCTAACAGCAATGTCCAGGACACCATCTTCTGAAACCACTGAACTTGCACCTCCAGGAGCCACAGGTACCCCTGATGCCTCCTGGACACCGTCTCCTGAAACCATCTCAAGTGCACCTCCTGCAGGCACAGCTACACCGGATTCTTCATCAAGTCTCCCAAGTGCAACTGATGGGACACCCTCTTCTGAAACCACTTCAAATTTACCTTCAGGATCAACAGGACTACCAGAGAGTTCGAGTAGTCTGCTGACAGCAATGTCTAGGACACCATCTTCTGAAACCACTGCACGTGCACCTACTGGCGCCACAGGTACAAATAATTCTTCAACTAGCCTCCCAAAAGCAACCACTTGGACACTATCTGCTGAAACCACTTCAAGTTCAGCTTCAATAGCAACAGGGCCAAGAGAGAGTGCAAGAAGTCTGATGACGTCTAGGACACCATCTCCTGAAACCACCTCAAGTGCACCTCCTGCGGCCACAGCTACACCGGATTCTTCATCAAGTCTCCCAAGTGCAACCTATGGGAAACTATCTGCTGAAACCACTTCAAGTTCAGCGTCCGGAGCAACAGAGCCAAGAGAGAGTACAAGAAGTCTGATAACATCTAGGACACCATCTTCTGATATCACTACAAGTACACATTCAGGATCAACAGCACCACCAGACAGTTCAAGAAGTTTGCTAACAGCAATGTCCAGGACACCATCTTCTGAAACCACTGAACTTGCACCTCCAGGAGCCACAGGTACCCCTGATGCCTCCTGGACACCGTCTCCTGAAACCATCTCAAGTGCACCTCCTGCAGCCACAGCTACACCGGATTCTTCATCAAGTCTCCCAAGTGCAACTGATGGGACACCCTCTTCTGAAACCACTTCAAGTTTACCTTCAGGATCAACAGGACTACCAGAGAGTTCGAGTAGTCTGCTGACAGCAATGTCTAGGACACCATCTTCTGAAACCACTGCACGTGCACCTACTGGCGCCACAGGTACAAATAATTCTTCAACTAGCCTCCCAAAAGCAACCACTTGGACACTATCTGCTGAAACCACTTCAAGTTCAGCTTCAATAGCAACAGGGCCAAGAGAGAGTGCAAGAAGTCTGATGACGTCTAGGACACCATCTTCTGAAACCACCTCAAGTGAACCTCCTGCAGCAACAGCTACACCGGATTCTTCATCAAGTCTCCCAAGTGCAACCTATGGGACACTATCTGCTGAAACCACTTCAAGTTCAGCGTCCGGAGCAACAGAGCCAAGAGAGAGTACAAGAAGTCTGATAACATCTAGGACACCATCTTCTGATATCACTACAAGTGCACGTTCAGGATCAACAGCACCACCAGACAGTTCAAGAAGTTTGCTAACAGCAATGTCCAGGACACCATCTTCTGAAACCACTGAACTTGCACCTCCAGAAGCCACAGGTACCCCTGATGCCTCCTGGACACCGTCTCCTGAAACCATCTCAAGTGCACCTCCTGCAGCCACAGCTACACCGGATTCTTCATCAAGTCTTCCAAGTGCAACTGATGGGACACCCTCTTCTGAAACGACTTCAAGTTTACCTTCAGGATCAACAGGACTACCAGAGAGTTCGAGTAGTCTGCTGACAGCAACGTCAAGGACACCACCTTCTGAAACCACTGTACGTGCACCTACTGGCGCCACAGGTACAAATGATTCTTCAACTAGCCTCCCAAAAGCAGCCACTTGGACACTATCTGCTGAAACCACTTCAAGTTCAGCTTCAGTACCAACATGGCCAAGAGACAGTACAAGAAGTCTGATGACGTCTCGGACACCATCTCCTGAAACCACCTCAAGTGCACCTCCTGCGGCCACAGCTACACCGGATTCTTCATCAAGTCTCCCAAGTGCAACCTATGGGAAACTATCTGCTGAAACCACTTCAAGTTCAGCGTCCGGAGCAACAGAGCCAAGAGAGAGTACAAGAAGTCTGATAACATCTAGGACACCATCTTCTGATATCACTACAAGTGCACGTTCAGGATCAACAGCACCACCAGACAGTTCAAGAAGTTTGCTAACAGCAATGTCCAGGACACCATCTTCTGAAACCACTGAACTTGCACCTCCAGGAGCCACAGGTACCCCTGATGCCTCCTGGACACCGTCTCCTGAAACCATCTCAAGTGCACCTCCTGCAGCCACAGCTACACCGGATTCTTCATCAAGTCTCCCAAGTGCAACCTATGGGACACTATCTGCTGAAACCACTTCAAGTTCAGCGTCCGGAGCAACAGAGCCAAGAGAGAGTACAAGAAGTCTGATAACATCTAGGACACCATCTTCTGATATCACTACAAGTGCACGTTCAGGATCAACAGCACCACCAGACAGTTCAAGAAGTTTGCTAACAGCAATGTCCAGGACACCATCTTCTGGAACCACTGAACTTGCACCTCCAGGAACCACAGGTACCCCTGATGCCTCCTGGACACCGTCTCCTGAAACCATCTCAAGTGCACCTCCTGCAGCCACAGCTACACCGGATTCTTCATCAAGTCTCCCAAGTGCAACTGATGGGACACCCTCTTCTGAAACCACTGCACGTGCACCTACTGGCGCCACAGGTACAAATAATTCTTCAACTAGCCTCCCAAAAGCAGCCACTTGGACACTATCTGCTGAAACCACTTCAAGTTCAGCTTCAATAGCAACTGGGCCAAGAGAGAGTGCAAGAAGTCTGATGACGTCTAGGACACCATCTTCTGAAACCACCTCAAGTGAACCTCCTGCAGCAACAGCTACACCGGATTCTTCATCAAGTCTCCCAAGTGCAACCTATGGGACACTATCTGCTGAAACCACTTCAAGTTCAGCGTCCGGAGCAACAGAGCCAAGAGAGAGTACAAGAAGTCTGATAACATCTAGGACACCATCTTCTGATATCACTACAAGTGCACGTTCAGGATCAACAGCACCACCAGACAGTTCAAGAAGTTTGCTAACAGCAATGTCCAGGACACCATCTTCTGAAACCACTGAACTTGCACCTCCAGGAGCCACAGGTACCCCTGATGCCTCCTGGACACCGTCTCCTGAAACCATCTCAAGTGCACCTCCTGCAGCCACAGCTACACCGGATTCTTCATCAAGTCTCCAAGTGCAACTGATGGGACACCCTCTTCTGAAACCACTTCAAGTTTACCTTCAGGATCAACAGGACTACCAGAGAGTTCGAGTAGTCTGCTGGCAGCAACGTCTAGGACACCATCTTCTGAAACCACTGCACGTGCACCTACTGGCGCCACAGGTACAAATGATTCTTCAACTAGCCTCCCAAAAGCAGCCACTTGGACACTATCTGCTGAAACCACTTCAAGTTCAGCTTCAGTACCAACATGGCCAAGAGACAGTACAAGAAGTCTGATGACGTCTCGGACACCATCTCCTGAAACCACCTCAAGTGCACCTCCTGCGGCCACAGCTACACCGGATTCTTCATCAAGTCTCCCAAGTGCAACCTATGGGACACTATCTGCTGAAACCACTTCAAGTTCAGCGTCCGGAGCAACAGAGCCAAGAGAGAGTACAAGAAGTCTGATAACATCTAGGACACCATCTTCTGATATCACTACAAGTGCACGTTCAGGATCAACAGCACCACCAGACAGTTCAAGAAGTTTGCTAACAGCAATGTCCAGGACACCATCTTCTGAAACCACTGAACTTGCACCTCCAGGAGCCACAGGTACCCCTGATGCCTCCTGGACACCGTCTCCTGAAACCATCTCAAGTGCACCTCCTGCAGCCACAGCTACACCGGATTCTTCATCAAGTCTTCCAAGTGCAACTGATGGGACACCCTCTTCTGAAACCACTTCAAGTTTACCTTCAGGATCAACAGGACTACCAGAGAGTTCGAGTAGTCTGCTGACAGCAATGTCTAGGACACCATCTTCTGAAACCACTGCACTTGCACCTACTGGCGCCACAGGTACAAATGATTCTTCAACTAGCCTCCCAAAAGCAGCCACTTGGACACTATCTGCTGAAACCACTTCAAGTTCAGCTTCAGTACCAACATGGCCAAGAGACAGTACAAGAAGTCTGATGACGTCTCGGACACCATCTCCTGAAACCACCTCAAGTGCACCTCCTGCGGCCACAGCTACACCGGATTCTTCATCAAGTCTCCCAAGTGCAACCTATGGGACACTATCTGCTGAAACCACTTCAAGTTCAGCGTCCGGAGCAACAGAGCCAAGAGAGAGTACAAGAAGTCTGATAACATCTAGGACACCATCTTCTGATATCACTACACGTGCACGTTCAGGATCAACAGCACCACCAGACAGTTCAAGAAGTTTGCTGACAGCAACGTCTAGGACACCATCTTCTGAAACCACTGTACGTGAACCTACTGGCGCCACAGGTACAAATGATTCTTCAACTAGCCTCCCAAAAGCAGCCACTTGGACACTATCTGCTGAAACCACTTCAAGTTCAGCGTCCGGAGCAACAGAGCCAAGAGAGAGTACAAGAAGTCTGATAACATCTAGGACACCATCTTCTGATATCACTACAAGTGCACGTTCAGGATCAACAGCACCACCAGACAGTTCAAGAAGTTTGCAAACAGCAATGTCCAGGACACCATCTTCTGAAACCACTGAACTTGCACCTCCAGGAGCCACAGGTACCCCTGATGCCTCCTGGACACCGTCTCCTGAAACCATCTCAAGTGCACCTCCTGCAGCCACAGCTACACCGGATTCTTCATCAAGTCTCCCAAGTGCAACTGATGGGACACCCTCTTCTGAAACCACTTCAAGTTTACCTTCAGGATCAACAGGACTACCAGAGAGTTCGAGTAGTCTGCTGACAGCAATGTCTAGGACACCATCTTCTGAAACCACTGCACGTGCACCTACTGGCGCCACAGGTACAAATGATTCTTCAACTAGCCTCCCAAAAGCAGCCACTTGGACACTATCTGCTGAAACCACTTCAAGTTCAGCTTCAATAGCAACAGGGCCAAGAGACAGTGCAAGAAGTCTGATGACGTCTAGGACACCATCTCCTGAAACCACCTCAAGTGCACCTCCTGCAGCCACAGCTACACCGGATTCTTCATCAAGTCTCCCAAGTGCAACCTATGGGACACTATCTGCTGAAACCACTTCAAGTTCAGCGTCCGGAGCAACAGAGCCAAGAGAGAGTACAAGAAGTCTGATAACATCTAGGACACCATCTTCTGATATCACTACAAGTGCACGTTCAGGATCAACAGCACCACCAGACAGTTCAAGAAGTTTGCTAACAGCAATGTCCAGGACACCATCTTCTGAAACCACTGAACTTGCACCTCCAGGAGCCACAGGTACCCCTGATGCCTCCTGGACACCGTCTCCTGAAACCATCTCAAGTGCACCTCCTGCAGCCACAGCTACACCGGATTCTTCATCAAGTCTCCAAAGTGCAACTGATGGGACACCCTCTTCTGAAACCACTTCAAGTTTACCTTCAGGATCAACAGGACTACCAGAGAGTTCGAGTAGTCTGCTGACAGCAATGTCTAGGACACCATCTTCTGAAACCACTGCACGTGCACCTACTGGCGCCACAGGTACAAATGATTCTTCAACTAGCCTCCCAAAAGCAACCACTTGGACACTATCTGCTGAAACCACTTCAAGTTCAGCTTCAGTACCAACAGGGCCAAGAGAGAGTACAAGAAGTCTGATGACGTCTCGGACACCATCTCCTGAAACCACCTCAAGTGCACCTCCTGCAGCCACAGCTACACCGGATTCTTCATCAAGTCTCCCAAGTGCAACCTATGGGACACTATCTGCTGAAACCACTTCAAGTTCAGCGTCCGGAGCAACAGAGCCAAGAGAGAGTACAAGAAGTCTGATAACATCTAGGACACCATCTTCTGATATCACTACAAGTGCACGTTCAGGATCAACAGCACCACCAGACAGTTCAAGAAGTTTGCTAACAGCAATGTCCAGGACACCATCTTCTGAAACCACTGAACTTGCACCTCCAGGAGCCACAGGTACCCCTGATGCCTCCTGGACACCGTCTCCTGAAACCATCTCAAGTGCACCTCCTGCAGCCACAGCTACACCGGATTCTTCATCAAGTCTCCAAAGTGCAACTGATGGGACACCCTCTTCTGAAACCACTTCAAGTTTACCTTCAGGATCAACAGGACTACCAGAGAGTTCGAGTAGTCTGCTGACAGCAACGTCTAGGACACCATCTTCTGAAACCACTGCACTTGCACCTACTGGCGCCACAGGTACAAATGATTCTTCAACTAGCCTCCCAAAAGCAGCCACTTGGACACTATCTGCTGAAACCACTTCAAGTTCAGCTTCAGTACCAACATGGCCAAGAGACAGTACAAGAAGTCTGATGACGTCTCGGACACCATCTCCTGAAACCACCTCAAGTGCACCTCCTGCGGCCACAGCTACACCGGATTCTTCATCAAGTCTCCCAAGTGCAACCTATGGGACACTATCTGCTGAAACCACTTCAAGTTCAGCGTCCGGAGCAACAGAGCCAAGAGAGAGTACAAGAAGTCTGATAACATCTAGGACACCATCTTCTGATATCACTACAAGTGCACGTTCAGGATCAACAGCACCACCAGACAGTTCAAGAAGTTTGCTAACAGCAATGTCCAGGACACCATCTTCTGAAACCACTGTACTTGCACCTACTGGCCCACAGGTACAAATGATTCTTCAACTAGCCTCCAAAAGCAGCCACTTGGACACTATCTGCTGAAACCACTTCAAGTTCAGCTTCAGTACCAACATGGCCAAGAGACAGTCAAGAAGTCTGATGACGTCTGGGACACCATCTTCTGAAACCACCTCAAGTGCACCTCCTGGGCAACAGCTACACCGATTCTTCATAGTCTCCCAAGTGCAATGTATAGGAAACTATCTGCTGAAACCACTTCAAGTTCAGCGTCCGGCGCAACAGAGCCAAGAGAGAGTACAAGAAGTCTGATAACATCTAGGACACCATCTTTGATACCACTACAAGTGCACGTTCAGGATCAACAGCACCACCAGACAGTTCAAGAAGTTGCTAACAACAATGTCAGGACACCATCTTCTGAAACCACTCAACTTGCACCTCCAGGAGCCACAGGTACCCCTGATGTCTCCTGGACCAACGTCTCCTGAAACCATCTCAAGTGCACCTCTGCAGCCACAGCTACACAAGAGTCTTCATCAAGTCTCCCAAGTGCAACTGAGGACACCATCTTCTGAAACCACTTCAAGTTGCACTTCAGGATCAACAGCACCACCAGAGAGTTCAAGAAGTTTGCTGACAGCAATGTCTAGGACACCATCTTCTGAAACCACTGCACGTGCACCTACTGGCGCCACAGGTACAAATGATTCTTCAACTAGCCTCCCAAAAGCAGCCACTTGGACACTATCTGCTGAAACCACTTCAAGTTCAGCTTCAGTAGCAACAGGCCAAGAGAGAGTACAAGAAGTCTGATGACATCTAGGACACCATCTTCTGAAACCACCTCAAGTGCACCTCCTGCAGCCACAGCTACACCGGATTCTTCATCAAGTCTCCCAAGTGCAACCTATGGGACACTATCTGCTGAAACCACTTCAAGTTCAGCGTCCGGAGCAACAGAGCCAAGAGAGAGTACAAGAAGTCTGATAACATCTAGGACACCATCTTCTGATACCACTACAAGTGCACGTTCAGGATCAACAGCACACCAGACAGTTCAAGAAGTTTGCTGACAGCAATGTCTAGGACACCATCTTCTGAAACCACTGAACGTGCACCTACTGGCGCCACAGGTACAAATGATTCTTCAACTAGCCTCCTGAAAGCAGCCACTTGGACACTATCTGCTGAAACCACTTCAAGTTCAGCTTCATACAACATGGCCAAGAGTGTACAAGAAGTCTGATGACGTCTAGGACACCATCTCCTGAAACCACCTCAAGTGCACCTCCTGCGGCCACAGCTACACCGGATTCTTCATCAAGTCTCCCAAGTGCAACCTATGGGAAACTATCTGCTGAAACCACTTCAAGTTCAGCGTCCGGAGCAACAGAGCCAAGAGAGAGTACAAGAAGTCTGATAACATCTAGGACACCATCTTCTGATATCACTACAAGTGCACGTTCAGGATCAACAGCACCACCAGACAGTTCAAGAAGTTTGCTAACAGCAATGTCCAGGACACCATCTTCTGAAACCACTGAACTTGCACCTCCAGGAGCCACAGGTACCCCTGATGCCTCCTGGACACCGTCTCCTGAAACCATCTCAAGTGCACCTCCTGCAGCCACAGCTACACCGGATTCTTCATCAAGTCTGAAGTGCAACTGATGGGACACCCTCTTCTGAAACCACTTCAAGTTTACCTTCAGGATCAACAGGACTACCAGAGAGTTCGAGTAGTCTGCTGACAGCAATGTCTAGGACACCATCTTCTGAAACCACTGCACGTGCACCTACTGGCGCCACAGGTACAAATAATTCTTCAACTAGCCTCCCAAAAGCAACCACTTGGACACTATCTGCTGAAACCACTTCAAGTTCAGCTTCAATAGCAACAGGGCCAAGAGAGAGTACAAGAAGTCTGATGACGTCTAGGACACCATCTTCTGAAACCACCTCAAGTGCACCTCCTGCAGCAACAGCTACACCGGATTCTTCATCAAGTCTCCCAAGTGCAACCTATGGGACACTATCTGCTGAAACCACTTCAAGTTCAGCGTCCGGAGCAACAGAGCCAAGAGAGAGTACAAGAAGTCTGATAACATCTAGGACACCATCTTCTGATATCACTACAAGTGCACGTTCAGGATCAACAGCACCACCAGACAGTTCAAGAAGTTTGCTAACAGCAATGTCCAGGACACCATCTTCTGAAACCACTGAACTTGCACCTCCAGGAGCAAGGTACCCTGATGCCTCCTGGACACCGTCTCCTGAAACCATCTCAAGTGCACCTCCTGCAGCCACAGCTACACCGGATTCTTCATCAAGTCTCCCAAGTGCAATGATGGGACACCCTCTCTGAAACCACTTCAAGTTCACCTTCAGGATCAACAGGATACAGAGAGTTCAAGAAGTCTGCTGACAGCAATGTCTAGGACACCATCTTCTGAAACCACTGCAAGTGCACCTACTGGCGCCACAGGTACAAATGATTCTTCAACTAGCCTCCCAAAAGCAACCACTTGGACACTATCTGCTGAAACCACTTCAAGTTCAGCTTCAGTAGCAACAGGGCCAAGAGACAGTACAAGAAGTCTGATGACATCTAGGACACCATCTCTTGAAACCACCTCAAGTGCACCTCCTGCAGCAACAGCTACACCGGATTCTTCATCAAGTCTCCCAAGTGCAACCTATGGGACACTATCTGCTGAAACCACTTCAAGTTCAGCTTCGGAGCAACAGAGCCAAGAGAGAGTACAAGAAGTCTGATAACATCTAGGACACCATCTTCTGATACCACTAAAAGTGCACGTTCAGGATCAACAGCACCACAGACAGTTCAAGAAGTTTGCTAACAGCAATGTCCAGGACACCATCTTCTGAAACCACTGAACTTGCACCTCCAGGAGCCACAGGTACCCCTGATGCCTCCTGGACACCGTCTCCTGAAACCATCTCAAGTGCACCTCCTGCAGCCACAGCTACACCGGATTCTTCATCAAGTCTCCCAAGTGCAACTGATGGGACACCCTCTTCTGAAACCACTTCAAGTTACCTTCAGGATCAACAGGACTACCAGAGAGTTCGAGTAGTCTGCTGCAGCAACGTCTAGGACACCATCTTCTGAAACCACTGCACGTGCACCTACTGGCGCCACAGGTACAAATGATTCTTCAACTAGCCTCCCAAAAGCAACCACTTGGACACTATCTGCTGAAACCACTTCAAGTTCAGCTTCAGTAGCAACAGGGCCAAGAGACAGTACAAGAAGTCTGATGACATCTAGGACACCATCTCTTGAAACCACCTCAAGTGCACCTCCTGCAGCAACAGCTACACCGGATTCTTCATCAAGTCTCCCAAGTGCAACCTATGGGACACTATCTGCTGAAACCACTTCAAGTTCAGCTTCAGGAGCAACAGAGCCAAGAGAGAGTACAAGAACTCTGATAACTTCTAGAACACCATCTTCTGATACCACTAAAAGTGCACGTTCAGGATCAACAGCGCCATCAGACAGTTCAAGAAGTTTGCTAACAGCAATGTCCAGGACACCATCTTCTGAAACCACTGCAGGTGCACCAACTGGCGCCACAGTACAAATGATTCTTCAACTAGCCTCCCAAAGCAACCACTTGGACACTATCTGCTGAAACCACTTCAAGTTCAGCTTCAGTAGCAACAGGGCCAAGTGAGAGTACAAGAAGTCTGATGACATCTAGGACACCATCTCTTGAAACCACCTCAAGTGCACCTCCTGCAGCAACAGCTACACCAGATTCTTCATCAAGTCTCCCAAGTGCAACCTATGGGACACTCTCTGCTGAAACCACTTCAAGTTCAGCTTCAGGAGCAACAGAGCCAAGAGAGAGTACAAGAACTCTGATAACTTCTAGAACACAATCTTCTGATACCACTAAAAGTGCACGTTCAGGATCAACAGCGCCATCAGACAGTTCAAGAAGTTTGCTAACAGCAATGTCCAGGACACCATCTTCTGAAACCACTGCAGGTGCACCAACTGGCGCCACAAGTACAAATGATTCTTCAACTAGCCTCCCAAAAGCAACCACTTGGACACTATCTGCTGAAACCACTTCAAGTTCAGCTTCAGTAGCAACAGGGCCAAGTGAGAGTACAAGAAGTCTGATGACATCTAGGACACCATCTCTTGAAACCACCTCAAGTGCACCTCCTGCAGCAACAGCTACACCGATTCTTCATCAAGTCTCCCAAGTGCAACCTATGGGACACTCTCTGCTGAAACCACTTCAAGTTCAGCTTCAGGAGCAACAGAGCCAAGAGAGAGTACAAGAACTCTGATAACTTCTAGAACACCATCTTCTGATACCACTAAAAGTGCACGTTCAGGATCAACAGCGCCATCAGACAGTTCAAGAAGTTTGCTAACAGCAATGTCCAGGACACCATCTTCTGAAACCACTGCAGGTGCACCAACTGGCGCCACAAGTACAAATGATTCTTCAACTAGCCTCCCAAAAGCAACCACTTGGACACTATCTGCTGAAAGGACTTCAAGTTCAGCTTCAGTAGCAACAGGGCCAAGAGACAGTACACGAAGTCTGATGACATCTAGGACACCATCTCTTGAAACCACCTCAAGTGCACCTCCTGCAGCAACAGCTACACCGGATTCTTCATCAAGTCTCCCAAGTGCAACCTATGGGACACTCTCTGCTGAAACCACTTCAAGTTCAGCTTCAGGAGCAACAGAGCCAAGAGAGAGTACAAGAACTCTGATAACTTTTAGAACACCATCTTCTGATACCACTAAAAGTGCACGTTCAGGATCAACAGCGCCATCAGACAGTTCAAGAAGTTTGCTAACAGCAATGTCCAAGACACCATCTTCTGAAACCACTGCAGGTGCACCAACTGGCGCCACAGGTACAAATGATTCTTCAACTAGCCTCCCAAAAGCAACCACTTGGACACTATCTGCTGAAACCACTTCAAGTTCAGCTTCAGTAGCAACAGGGCCAAGTGAGAGTACAAGAAGTCTGATGACATCTAGGACACCATCTCTTGAAACCACCTCAAGTGCACCTCCTGCAGCAACAGCTACCCCAGATTCTTCATCAAGTCTCCCAAGTGCAACCTATGGGACACTCTCTGCTGAAACCACTTCAAGTTCAGCTTCAGGAGCAACAGAGCCAAGAGAGAGTACAAGAACTCTGATAACTTCTAGAACACCATCTTCTGATACCACTAAAAGTGCACGTTCAGGATCAACAGCGCCATCAGACAGTTCAAGAAGTTTGCTAACAGCAATGTCCAGGACACCATCTTCTGAAACCACTGCAGGTGCACCAACTGGCGCCACAGTACAAATGATTCTTCAACTAGCCTCCCAAAAGCAACCACTTGGACACTATCTGCTGAAACCACTTCAAGTTCAGCTTCAGTAGCAACAGGGCCAAGAGACAGTACAAGAAGTCTGATGACATCTAGGACACCATCTCTTGAAACCACCTCAAGTGCACCTCCTGCAGCAACAGCTACACCGGATTCTTCATCAAGTCTCCCAAGTGCAACCTATGGGACACTCTCTGCTGAAACCACTTCAAGTTCAGCTTCAGGAGCAACAGAGCCAAGAGAGAGTACAAGAACTCTGATAACTTTTAGAACACCATCTTCTGATACCACTAAAAGTGCACGTTCAGGATCAACAGCGCCATCAGACAGTTCAAGAAGTTTGCTAACAGCAATGTCCAGGACACCATCTTCTGAAACCACTGCAGGTGCACCAACTGGCGCCACAGGTACAAATGATTCTTCAACTAGCCTCCCAAAAGCAACCACTTGGACACTATCTGCTGAAACCACTTCAAGTTCAGCTTCAGTAGCAACAGGGCCAAGTGAGAGTACAAGAAGTCTGATGACATCTAGGACACCATCTCTTGAAACCACCTCAAGTGCACCTCCTGCAGCAACAGCTACCCAGATTCTTCATCAAGTCTCCCAAGTGCAACCTATGGGACACTCTCTGCTGAAACCACTTCAAGTTCAGCTTCAGGAGCAACAGAGCCAAGAGAGAGTACAAGAACTCTGATAACTTCTAGAACACCATCTTCTGATACCACTAAAAGTGCACGTTCAGGATCAACAGCGCCATCAGACAGTTCAAGAAGTTTGCTAACAGCAATGTCCAAGACACCATCTTCTGAAACCACTGCAGGTGCACCAACTGGCGCCACAGGTACAAATGATTCTTCAACTAGCCTCCCAAAAGCAACCACTTGGACACTATCTGCTGAAACCACTTCAAGTTCAGCTTCAGTAGCAACAGGGCCAAGAGACAGTACAAGAAGTCTGATGACATCTAGGACACCATCTCTTGAAACCACCTCAAGTGCACCTCCTGCAGCAACAGCTACACCAGATTCTTCATCAAGTCTCCCAAGTGCAACCAATGGGACACTATCTGCTGAAACCACTTCAAGTTCAGCTTCAGGAGCAACAGAGCCAAGAGAGAGTACAAGAACTCTGATAACTTCTAGAACACCATCTTCTGATACCACTAAAAATGCACGTTCAGGATCAACAGCGCCATCAGACAGTGCAAGAAGTTTGCTAACAGCAATGTCCAGGACACCATCTTCTGAAACCACTGCAGGTGCACCAACTGGCGCCACAGGTACAAATGATTCTTCAACTAGCCTCCCAAAAGCAACCACTTGGACACTATCTGCTGAAACCACTTCAAGTTCAGCTTCAGTAGCAACAGGGCCAAGAGACAGTACAAGAAGTCTGATGACATCTAGGACACCATCTCTTGAAACCACCTCAAGTGCACCTCCTGCAGCAACAGCTACACTGGATTCTTCATCAAGTCTCCCAAGTGCAACCAATGGGACACTATCTGCTGAAACCACTTCAAGTTCAGCTTCAGGAGCAACAGAGCCAAGAGAGAGTACAAGAACTCTGATAACTTCTAGAACACCATCTTCTGATACCACTAAAAGTGCACGTTCAGGATCAACAGCGCCATCAGACAGTTCAAGAAGTTTGCTAACAGCAATGTCCAGGACACCATCTTCTGAAACCACTGAAGGTGCACCAATTGGCGCCACAGGTACAAATGATTCTTCAACTAGCCTCCCAAAAGCAACCACTTGGACACTATCTGCTGAAACCACTTCAAGTTCAGCTTCAGTAGCAACAGGGCCAAGAGAGAGTACAAGAAGTCTGATGACGTCTAGGACACCATCTTCTGAAACCACTGCAAGTGCACCTCCTGCAGCCACAGCTACACCGGATTCTTTATCAAGTCTCCCAAGTGCAACCTATGGGACACTATCTGCTGAAACCACTTCAAGTTCAGCTTCAGTAGCAACAGGGCCAAGAGGAGTACAAGAAGTCTGATGACATCTAGGACACCATCTCTTGAAACCACCTCAAGTGCACTTCCTGCAGCAACAGCTACACCAGATTCTTCATCAAGTCTCCCAAGTGCAACCTATGGGACACTATCTGCTGAAACCACTTCAAGTTCAGCTTCAGGAGCAACAGAGCCAAGAGAGAGTACAAGAACTCTGATAACTTCTAGAACACCATCTTCTGATACCACTAAAAGTGCACGTTCAGGATCAACAGCGCCATCAGACAGTTCAAGAAGTTTGCTAACAGCAATGTCCAGGACACCATCTTCTGAAACCACTGAAGGTGCACCAACTTGCGCCACAGGTACAAATGATTCTTCAACTAGCCTCCCAAAAGCAGCCACTTGGACACTATCTGCTGAAACGACTTCAAGTTCAGCTTCAGTAGCAACAGGGCCAAGAGACAGTACAAGAAGTCTGATGACATCTAGGACACCATCTCTTGAAACCACCTCAAGTGCACCTCCTGCAGCAACAGCTACACCGCATTCTTCATCAAGTCTCCCAAGTGCAACCAATGGGACACTATCTGCTGAAACCACTTCAAGTTCAGCTTCAGGAGCAACAGAGCCAAGAGAGAGTACAAGAACTCTGATAACTTCTAGAACACCATCTTCTGATACCACTAAAAGTGCACATTCAGGATCAACAGCGCCATCAGACAGTTCAAGAAGTTTGCTAACAGCAATGTCCAGGACACCATCTTCTGAAACCACTGCAGGTGCACCAACTGGCGCCACAGGTACAAATGATTCTTCAACTAGCCTCCCAAAAGCAACCACTTGGACACTATCTGCTGAAACCACTTCAAGTTCAGCTTCAGTAGCAACAGGGCCAAGAGAGAGTACAAGAAGTCTGATGACATCTAGGACACCATCTCTTGAAACCACCTCAAGTGCACCTCCTGCAGCAACAGCTACACCAGATTCTTCATCAAGTCTCCCAAGTGCAACCTATGGGACACTCTCTGCTGAAACCACTTCAAGTTCAGCTTCAGGAGCAACAGAGCCAAGAGAGAGTACAAGAACTCTGATAACTTCTAGAACACCATCTTCTGATACCACTAAAAGTGCACATTCAGGATCAACAGCGCCATTAGACAGTTCAAGTAGTTTGCTAACAGCAATGTCCAGGACACCATCTTCTGAAACCACTGCAGGTGCATCAACTGGCGCCACAAGTACAAATGATTCTTCAACTAGCCTCCCAAAAGCAACCACTTGGACACTATCTGCTGAAACCACTTCAAGTTCAGCTTCAGTAGCAACAGGGCCAAGTGAGAGTACAAGAAGTCTGATGACATCTAGGACACCATCTCTTGAAACCACCTCAAGTGCACCTCCTGCAGCAACAGCTACCCCAGATTCTTCATCAAGTCTCCCAAGTGCAACCTATGGGACACTCTCTGCTGAAACCACTTCAAGTTCAGCTTCAGGAGCAACAGAGCCAAGAGAGAGTACAAGAACTCTGATAACTTTTAGAACACCATCTTCTGATACCACTAAAAGTACACGTTCAGGATCAACAACGCCATCAGACAGTTCAAGAAGTTTGCTAACAGCAATGTCCAGGACACCATCTTCTGAAACCACTGCAGGTGCACCAACTGGCGCCACAGGTACAAATGATTCTTCAACTAGCCTCCCAAAAGCAACCACTTGGACACTATCTGCTGAAACCACTTCAAGTTCAGCTTCAGTAGCAACAGGGCCAAGTGAGAGTACAAGAAGTCTGATGACATCTAGGACACCATCTCTTGAAACCACCTCAAGTGCACCTCCTGCAGCAACAGCTACACCAGATTCTTCATCAAGTCTCCCAAGTGCAACCTATGGGACACTCTCTGCTGAAACCACTTCAAGTTCAGCTTCAGGAGCAACAGAGCCAAGAGAGAGTACAAGAACTCTGATAACTTCTAGAACACAATCTTCTGATACCACTAAAAGTGCACGTTCAGGATCAACAGCGCCATCAGACAGTTCAAGAAGTTTGCTAACAGCAATGTCCAGGACACCATCTTCTGAAACCACTGCAGGTGCACCAACTGGCGCCACAAGTACAAATGATTCTTCAACTAGCCTCCCAAAAGCAACCACTTGGACACTATCTGCTGAAAGGACTTCAAGTTCAGCTTCAGTAGCAACAGGGCCAAGAGACAGTACACGAAGTCTGATGACATCTAGGACACCATCTCTTGAAACCACCTCAAGTGCACCTCCTGCAGCAACAGCTACACCAGATTCTTCATCAAGTCTCCCAAGTGCAACCTATGGGACACTCTCTGCTGAAACCACTTCAAGTTCAGCTTCAGGAGCAACAGAGCCAAGAGAGAGTACAAGAACTCTGATAACTTTTAGAACACCATCTTCTGATACCACTAAAAGTACACGTTCAGGATCAACAACGCCATCAGACAGTTCCAGAAGTTTGCTAACAGCAATGTCCAGGACACCATCTTCTGAAACCACTGCAGGTGCACCAACTGGCGCCACAGGTACAAATGATTCTTCAACTAGCCTCCCAAAAGCAACCACTTGGACACTATCTGCTGAAACCACTTCAAGTTCAGCTTCAGGAGCAACAGAGCCAAGAGAGAGTACAAGAACTCTGATAACTTCTAGAACACCATCTTCTGATACCACTAAAAGTGCACGTTCAGGATCAACAGCGCCATCAGACAGTTCAAGAAGTTTGCTAACAGCAATGTCCAGGACACCATCTTCTGAAACCACTGCAGGTGCACCAACTGGCGCCACAGGTACAAATGATTCTTCAACTAGCCTCCCAAAAGCAACCACTTGGACACTATCTGCTGAAACCACTTCAAGTTCAGCTTCAGTAGCAACAGGGCCAAGAGACAGTACAAGAAGTCTGATGACATCTAGGACACCATCTCTTGAAACCACCTCAAGTGCACCTCCTGCAGCAACAGCTACACCAGATTCTTCATCAAGTCTCCCAAGTGCAACCTATGGGACACTCTCTGCTGAAACCACTTCAAGTTCAGCTTCAGGAGCAACAGAGCCAAGAGAGAGTACAAGAACTCTGATAACTTCTAGAACACCATCTTCTGATACCACTAAAAGTGCACGTTCAGGATCAACAGCGCCATCAGACAGTTCAAGAAGTTTGCTAACAGCAATGTCCAGGACACCATCTTCTGAAACCACTGCAGGTGCACCAACTGGCGCCACAGGTACAAATGATTCTTCAACTAGCCTCCCAAAAGCAACCACTTGGACACTATCTGCTGAAACCACTTCAAGTTCAGCTTCAGTAGCAACAGGGCCAAGTGAGAGTACAAGAAGTCTGATGACATCTAGGACACCATCTCTTGAAACCACCTCAAGTGCACCTCCTGCAGCAACAGCTACCCCAGATTCTTCATCAAGTCTCCCAAGTGCAACCTATGGGACACTATCTGCTGAAACCACTTCAAGTTCAGCTTCAGGAGCAACAGAGCCAAGAGAGAGTACAAGAACTCTGATAACTTTAGAACACCATCTTCTGATACCACTAAAAGTGCACGTTCAGGATCAACAGCGCCATCAGACAGTTCAAGAAGTTTGCTAACAGCAATGTCCAAGACACCATCTTCTGAAACCACTGCAGGTGCATCAACTGGCGCCACAGGTACAAATGATTCTTCAACTAGCCTCCCAAAAGCAACCACTTGGACACTATCTGCTGAAACCACTTCAAGTTCAGCTTCAGTAGCAACAGGGCCAAGAGACAGTACAAGAAGTCTGATGACATCTAGGACACCATCTCTTGAAACCACCTCAAGTGCACCTCCTGCAGCAACAGCTACACCAGATTCTTCATCAAGTCTCCCAAGTGCAACCTATGGGACACTCTCTGCTGAAACCACTTCAAGTTCAGCTTCAGGAGCAACAGAGCCAAGAGAGAGTACAAGAACTCTGATAACTTCTAGAACACCATCTTCTGATACCACTAAAAGTGCACGTTCAGGATCAACAGCGCCATCAGACAGTTCAAGAAGTTTGCTAACAGCAATGTCCAAGACACCATCTTCTGAAACCACTGCAGGTGCACCAACTGGCGCCACAGGTACAAATGATTCTTCAACTAGCCTCCCAAAAGCAACCACTTGGACACTATCTGCTGAAACCACTTCAAGTTCAGCTTCAGTAGCAACAGGGCCAAGTGAGAGTACAAGAAGTCTGATGACATCTAGGACACCATCTCTTGAAACCACCTCAAGTGCACCTCCTGCAGCAACAGCTACCCCAGATTCTTCATCAAGTCTCCCAAGTGCAACCAATGGGACACTCTCTGCTGAAACCACTTCAAGTTCAGCTTCAGGAGCAACAGAGCCAAGAGAGAGTACAAGAACTCTGATAACTTCTAGAACACCATCTTCTGATACCACTAAAAGTGCACGTTCAGGATCAACAGCGCCATCAGACAGTTCAAGAAGTTTGCTAACAGCAATGTCCAGGACACCATCTTCTGAAACCACTGCAGGTGCACCAACTGGCGCCACAAGTACAAATGATTCTTCAACTAGCCTCCCAAAAGCAACCACTTGGACACTATCTGCTGAAAGGACTTCAAGTTCAGCTTCAGTAGCAACAGGGCCAAGAGACAGTACAAGAAGTCTGATGACATCTAGGACACCATCTCTTGAAACCACCTCAAGTGCACCTCCTGCAGCAACAGCTACACCGGATTCTTCATCAAGTCTCCCAAGTGCAACCAATGGGACACTATCTGCTGAAACCACTTCAAGTTCAGCTTCAGGAGCAACAGAGCCAAGAGAGAGTACAAGAACTCTGATAACTTCTAGAACACCATCTTCTGATACCACTAAAAGTGCACGTTCAGGATCAACAGCGCCATCAGACAGTTCAAGAAGTTTGCTAACAGCAATGTCCAGGACACCATCTTCTGAAACCACTGCAGGTGCACCAACTGGCGCCACAGGTACAAATGATTCTTCAACTAGCCTCCCAAAAGCAACCACTTGGACACTATCTGCTGAAACCACTTCAAGTTCAGCTTCAGTAGCAACAGGGCCAAGTGAGAGTACAAGAAGTCTGATGACATCTAGGACACCATCTCTTGAAACCACCTCAAGTGCACCTCCTGCAGCAACAGCTACCCCAGATTCTTCATCAAGTCTCCCAAGTGCAACCTATGGGACACTCTCTGCTGAAACCACTTCAAGTTCAGCTTCAGGAGCAACAGAGCCAAGAGAGAGTACAAGAACTCTGATAACTTTTAGAACACCATCTTCTGATACCACTAAAAGTGCACGTTCAGGATCAACAGCGCCATCAGACAGTTCAAGAAGTTTGCTAACAGCAATGTCCAAGACACCATCTTCTGAAACCACTGCAGGTGCATCAACTGGCGCCACAGGTACAAATGATTCTTCAACTAGCCTCCCAAAAGCAACCACTTGGACACTATCTGCTGAAACCACTTCAAGTTCAGCTTCAGTAGCAACAGGGCCAAGAGACAGTACAAGAAGTCTGATGACATCTAGGACACCATCTCTTGAAACCACCTCAAGTGCACCTCCTGCAGCAACAGCTACACCAGATTCTTCATCAAGTCTCCCAAGTGCAACCTATGGGACACTCTCTGCTGAAACCACTTCAAGTTCAGCTTCAGGAGCAACAGAGCCAAGAGAGAGTACAAGAACTCTGATAACTTCTAGAACACCATCTTCTGATACCACTAAAAGTGCACGTTCAGGATCAACAGCGCCATCAGACAGTTCAAGAAGTTTGCTAACAGCAATGTCCAGGACACCATCTTCTGAAACCACTGCAGGTGCACCAACTGGCGCCACAGGTACAAATGATTCTTCAACTAGCCTCCCAAAAGCAACCACTTGGACACTATCTGCTGAAACCACTTCAAGTTCAGCTTCAGTAGCAACAGGGCCAAGTGAGAGTACAAGAAGTCTGATGACATCTAGGACACCATCTCTTGAAACCACCTCAAGTGCACCTCCTGCAGCAACAGATACCCCAGATTCTTCATCAAGTCTCCCAAGTGCAACCAATGGGACACTATCTGCTGAAACCACTTCAAGTTCAGCTTCAGGAGCAACAGAGCCAAGAGAGAGTACAAGAACTCTGATAACTTCTAGAACACCATCTTCTGATACCACTAAAAATGCACGTTCAGGATCAACAGCGCCATCAGACAGTGCAAGAAGTTTGCTAACAGCAATGTCCAGGACACCATCTTCTGAAACCACTGCAGGTGCACCAACTGGCGCCACAGGTACAAATGATTCTTCAACTAGCCTCCCAAAAGCAACCACTTGGACACTATCTGCTGAAACCACTTCAAGTTCAGCTTCAGTAGCAACAGGGCCAAGTGAGAGTACAAGAAGTCTGATGACATCTAGGACACCATCTCTTGAAACCACCTCAAGTGCACCTCCTGCAGCAACAGCTACCCCAGATTCTTCATCAAGTCTCCCAAGTGCAACCAATGGGACACTATCTGCTGAAACCACTTCAAGTTCAGCTTCAGTAGCAACAGGGCCAAGTGAGAGTACAAGAAATCTGATGACATCTAGGACACCATCTCTTGAAAGCACCTCAAGTGCACCTCCTGCAGCAACAGCTACCCCAGATTCTTCATCAAGTCTCCCAAGTGCAACCTATGGGACACTCTCTGCTGAAACCACTTCAAGTTCAGCTTCAGGAGCAACAGAGCCAAGAGAGAGTACAAGAACTCTGATAACTTTTAGAACACCATCTTCTGATACCACTAAAAGTACACGTTCAGGATCAACAACACCATCAGACAGTTCAAGAAGTTTGCTAACAGCAATGTCCAGGACACCATCTTCTGAAACCACTGCAGGTGCACCAACTGGCGCCACAGGTACAAATGATTCTTCAACTAGCCTCCCAAAAGCATCCACTTGGACACTATCTGCTGAAACCACTTCAAGTTCAGCTTCAGTAGCAACAGGGCCAAGTGAGAGTACAAGAAGTCTGATGACATCTAGGACACCATCTCTTGAAACCACCTCAAGTGCACCTCCTGCAGCAACAGCTACACCAGATTCTTCATCAAGTCTCCCAAGTGCAACCTATGGGACACTCTCTGCTGAAACCACTTCAAGTTCAGCTTCAGGAGCAACAGAGCCAAGAGAGAGTACAAGAACTCTGATAACTTCTAGAACACAATCTTCTGATACCACTAAAAGTGCACGTTCAGGATCAACAGCGCCATCAGACAGTTCAAGAAGTTTGCTAACAGCAATGTCCAGGACACCATCTTCTGAAACCACTGCAGGTGCACCAACTGGCGCCACAAGTACAAATGATTCTTCAACTAGCCTCCCAAAAGCAACCACTTGGACACTATCTGCTGAAAGGACTTCAAGTTCAGCTTCAGTAGCAACAGGGCCAAGAGACAGTACACGAAGTCTGATGACATCTAGGACACCATCTCTTGAAACCACCTCAAGTGCACCTCCTGCAGCAACAGCTACACCGGATTCTTCATCAAGTCTCCCAAGTGCAACCAATGGGACACTATCTGCTGAAACCACTTCAAGTTCAGCTTCAGTAGCAACAGGGCCAAGTGAGAGTACAAGAAGTCTGATGACATCTAGGACACCATCTCTTGAAACCACCTCAAGTGCACCTCCTGCAGCAACAGCTACCCCAGATTCTTCATCAAGTCTCCCAAGTGCAACCAATGGGACACTATCTGCTGAAACCACTTCAAGTTCAGCTTCAGTAGCAACAGGGCCAAGTGAGAGTACAAGAAATCTGATGACATCTAGGACACCATCTCTTGAAAGCACCTCAAGTGCACCTCCTGCAGCAACAGCTACCCCAGATTCTTCATCAAGTCTCCCAAGTGCAACCTATGGGACACTCTCTGCTGAAACCACTTCAAGTTCAGCTTCAGGAGCTACAGAGCCAAGAGAGAGTACAAGAACTCTGATAACTTTTAGAACACCATCTTCTGATACCACTAAAAGTACACGTTCAGGATCAACAACGCCATCAGACAGTTCAAGAAGTTTGCTAACAGCAATGTCCAGGACACCATCTTCTGAAACCACTGCAGGTGCACCAACTGGCGCCACAGGTACAAATGATTCTTCAACTAGCCTCCCAAAAGCAACCACTTGGACACTATCTGCTGAAACCACTTCAAGTTCAGCTTCAGTAGCAACAGGGCCAAGTGAGAGTACAAGAAGTCTGATGACATCTAGGACACCATCTCTTGAAACCACCTCAAGTGCACCTCCTGCAGCAACAGCTACACCAGATTCTTCATCAAGTCTCCCAAGTGCAACCTATGGGACACTCTCTGCTGAAACCACTTCAAGTTCAGCTTCAGGAGCAACAGAGCCAAGAGAGAGTACAAGAACTCTGATAACTTCTAGAACACAATCTTCTGATACCACTAAAAGTGCACGTTCAGGATCAACAGCGCCATCAGACAGTTCAAGAAGTTTGCTAACAGCAATGTCCAGGACACCATCTTCTGAAACCACTGCAGGTGCACCAACTGGCGCCACAAGTACAAATGATTCTTCAACTAGCCTCCCAAAAGCAACCACTTGGACACTATCTGCTGAAAGGACTTCAAGTTCAGCTTCAGTAGCAACAGGGCCAAGAGACAGTACACGAAGTCTGATGACATCTAGGACACCATCTCTTGAAACCACCTCAAGTGCACCTCCTGCAGCAACAGCTACACCGGATTCTTCATCAAGTCTCCCAAGTGCAACCAATGGGACACTATCTGCTGAAACCACTTCAAGTTCAGCTTCAGTAGCAACAGGCCAAGTGAGAGTACAAGAAGTCTGATGACATCTAGGACACCATCTCTTGAAACCACCTCAAGTGCACCTCCTGCAGCAACAGCTACCCCAGATTCTTCATCAAGTCTCCCAAGTGCAACCAATGGGACACTATCTGCTGAAACCACTTCAAGTTCAGCTTCAGTAGCAACAGGGCCAAGTGAGAGTACAAGAAATCTGATGACATCTAGGACACCATCTCTTGAAAGCACCTCAAGTGCACCTCCTGCAGCAACAGCTACCCCAGATTCTTCATCAAGTCTCCCAAGTGCAACCTATGGGACACTCTCTGCTGAAACCACTTCAAGTTCAGCTTCAGGAGCAACAGAGCCAAGAGAGAGTACAAGAACTCTGATAACTTTTAGAACACCATCTTCTGATACCACTAAAAGTACACGTTCAGGATCAACAACGCCATCAGACAGTTCAAGAAGTTTGCTAACAGCAATGTCCAGGACACCATCTTCTGAAACCACTGCAGGTGCACCAACTGGCGCCACAGGTACAAATGATTCTTCAACTAGCCTCCCAAAAGCAACCACTTGGACACTATCTGCTGAAACCACTTCAAGTTCAGCTTCAGTAGCAACAGGGCCAAGAGACAGTACAAGAAGTCTGATGACATCTAGGACACCATCTCTTGAAACCACCTCAAGTGCACCTCCTGCAGCAACAGCTACACCAGATTCTTCATCAAGTCTCCCAAGTGCAACCTATGGGACACTCTCTGCTGAAACCACTTCAAGTTCAGCTTCAGGAGCAACAGAGCCAAGAGAGAGTACAAGAACTCTGATAACTTCTAGAACACCATCTTCTGATACCACTAAAAGTGCACGTTCAGGATCAACAGCGCCATCAGACAGTTCAAGAAGTTTGCTAACAGCAATGTCCAAGACACCATCTTCTGAAACCACTGCAGGTGCACCAACTGGCGCCACAGGTACAAATGATTCTTCAACTAGCCTCCCAAAAGCAACCACTTGGACACTATCTGCTGAAACCACTTCAAGTTCAGCTTCAGTAGCAACAGGGCCAAGTGAGAGTACAAGAAGTCTGATGACATCTAGGACACCATCTCTTGAAACCACCTCAAGTGCACCTCCTGCAGCAACAGATACCCCAGATTCTTCATCAAGTCTCCCAAGTGCAACCAATGGGACACTATCTGCTGAAACCACTTCAAGTTCAGCTTCAGGAGCAACAGACCCAAGAGAGAGTACAAGAACTCTGATAACTTCTAGAACACCATCTTCTGATACCACTAAAAGTGCACGTTCAGGATCAACAGCGCCATCAGACAGTGCAAGAAGTTTGCTAACAGCAATGTCCAGGACACCATCTTCTGAAACCACTGCAGGTGCACCAACTGGCGCCACAGGTACAAATGATTCTTCAACTAGCCTCCCAAAAGCAACCACTTGGACACTATCTGCTGAAACCACTTCAAGTTCAGCTTCAGTAGCAACAGGGCCAAGTGAGAGTACAAGAAGTCTGATGACATCTAGGACACCATCTCTTGAAACCACCTCAAGTGCACCTCCTGCAGCAACAGCTACCCCAGATTCTTCATCAAGTCTCCCAAGTGCAACCAATGGGACACTATCTGCTGAAACCACTTCAAGTTCAGCTTCAGGAGCAACAGAGCCAAGAGAGAGTACAAGAACTCTGATAACTTCTAGAACACCATCTTCTGATACCACTAAAAATGCACGTTCAGGATCAACAGCGCCATCAGACAGTGCAAGAAGTTTGCTAACAGCAATGTCCAGGACACCATCTTCTGAAACCACTGCAGGTGCACCAACTGGCGCCACAGGTACAAATGATTCTTCAACTAGCCTCCCAAAAGCAACCACTTGGACACTATCTGCTGAAACCACTTCAAGTTCAGCTTCAGTAGCAACAGGGCCAAGAGACAGTACAAGATGTCTGGTGACATCTAGGACACCATCTCTTGAAACCACCTCAATTGCACCTCCTGCAGCAACAGCTACACTGGATTCTTCATCAAGTCTCCCAAGTGCAACCAATGGGACACTATCTGCTGAAACCACTGCAAGTTCAGCTTCAGGAGCAACAGAGCCAAGAGAGAGTACAAGAACTCTGATAACTTCTAGAACACCATCTTCTGATACCACTAAAAGTGCACATTCAGGATCAACAGCGCCATCAGACAGTTCAAGAAGTTTGCTAACAGCAATTTCCAGGACACCATCTTCTGAAACCACTGAAGGTGCACCAATTGGCGCCACAGGTACAAATGATTCTTCAACTAGCCTCCCAAAAGCAACCACTTGGACACTATCTGCTGAAACTACTTCAAGTTCAGCTTCAGTAGCAACACGGCCAAGAGAGAGTACAAGAAGTCTGATGACGTCTAGGACACCATCTTCTGAAACCACTGCAAGTGCACCTCCTGCAGCCACAGCTACACCGGATTCTTTATCAAGTCTCCCAAGTGCAACCTATAGGACACTATCTGCTGAAACCACTTCAAGTTCAGCTTCAGTAGCAACAGGGCCAAGAGGCAGTACAAGAAGTCTGATGACATCTAGGACACCATCTCTTGAAACCACCTCAAGTGCACTTCCTGCAGCAACAGCTACACCGGATTCTTCATCAAGTCTCCCAAGTGCAACCTATGGGACACTATCTGCTGAAACCACTTCAAGTTCAGCTTCAGGAGCAACAGAGCCAAGAGAGAGTACAAGAACTCTGATAACTTCTAGAACACCATCTTCTGATACCACTAAAAGTGCACGTTCAGGATCAACAGCGCCATCAGACAGTTCAAGAAGTTTGCTAACAGCAATGTCCAGGACACCATCTTCTGAAACCACTGAAGGTGCACCAACTTGCGCCACAGGTACAAATGATTCTTCAACTAGCCTCCCAAAAGCAGCCACTTGGACACTATCTGCTGAAACGACTTCAAGTTCAGCTTCAGTAGCAACAGGGCCAAGAGACAGTACAAGAAGTCTGATGACATCTAGGACACCATCTCTTGAAACCACCTCAAGTGCACCTCCTGCAGCAACAGCTACACCGCATTCTTCATCAAGTCTCCCAAGTGCAACCAATGGGACACTATCTGCTGAAACCACTTCAAGTTCAGCTTCAGGAGCAACAGAGCCAAGAGAGAGTACAAGAACTCTGATAACTTCTAGAACACCATCTTCTGATACCACTAAAAGTGCACATTCAGGATCAACAGCGCCATCAGACAGTTCAAGTAGTTTGCTAACAGCAATGTCCAGGACACCATCTTCTGAAACCACTGCACGTGCACCAACTGGCGCCACAGGTACAAATGATTCTTCAACTAGCCTCCCAAAAGCAACCACTTGGACACTATCTGATGAAACCACTTCAAGTTCTGCTTCAGTAGCAACAGGGCCAAGTGAGAGTACAAGAAGTCTGATGACATCTAGGACACCATCTCTTGAAACCACCTCAAGTGCACCTCCTGCAGCAACAGCTACACCAGATTCTTCATCAAGTCTCCCAAGTGCAACCTATGGGACACTCTCTGCTGAAACCACTTCAAGTTCAGCTTCAGGAGCAACAGAGCCAAGAGAGAGTACAAGAACTCTGATAACTTCTAGAACACCATCTTCTGATACCACTAAAAGTGCACATTCAGGATCAACAGCGCCATTAGACAGTTCAAGTAGTTTGCTAACAGCAATGTCCAGGACACCATCTTCTGAAACCACTGCAGGTGCATCAACTGGCGCCACAAGTACAAATGATTCTTCAACTAGCCTCCCAAAAGCAACCACTTGGACACTATCTGCTGAAACCACTTCAAGTTCAGCTTCAGTAGCAACAGGGCCAAGTGAGAGTACAAGAAGTCTGATGACATCTAGGACACCATCTCTTGAAACCACCTCAAGTGCACCTCCTGCAGCAACAGCTACCCCAGATTCTTCATCAAGTCTCCCAAGTGCAACCTATGGGACACTCTCTGCTGAAACCACTTCAAGTTCAGCTTCAGGAGCAACAGAGCCAAGAGAGAGTACAAGAACTCTGATAACTTTTAGAACACCATCTTCTGATACCACTAAAAGTACACGTTCAGGATCAACAACGCCATCAGACAGTTCAAGAAGTTTGCTAACAGCAATGTCCAGGACACCATCTTCTGAAACCACTGCAGGTGCACCAACTGGCGCCACAGGTACAAATGATTCTTCAACTAGCCTCCCAAAAGCAACCACTTGGACACTATCTGCTGAAACCACTTCAAGTTCAGCTTCAGTAGCAACAGGGCCAAGTGAGAGTACAAGAAGTCTGATGACATCTAGGACACCATCTCTTGAAACCACCTCAAGTGCACCTCCTGCAGCAACAGCTACACCAGATTCTTCATCAAGTCTCCCAAGTGCAACCTATGGGACACTCTCTGCTGAAACCACTTCAAGTTCAGCTTCAGGAGCAACAGAGCCAAGAGAGAGTACAAGAACTCTGATAACTTCTAGAACACAATCTTCTGATACCACTAAAAGTGCACGTTCTGGATCAACAGCGCCATCAGACAGTTCAAGAAGTTTGCTAACAGCAATGTCCAGGACACCATCTTCTGAAACCACTGCAGGTGCACCAACTGGCGCCACAAGTACAAATGATTCTTCAACTAGCCTCCCAAAAGCAACCACTTGGACACTATCTGCTGAAAGGACTTCAAGTTCAGCTTCAGTAGCAACAGGGCCAAGAGACAGTACACGAAGTCTGATGACATCTAGGACACCATCTCTTGAAACCACCTCAAGTGCACCTCCTGCAGCAACAGCTACACCAGATTCTTCATCAAGTCTCCCAAGTGCAACCTATGGGACACTCTCTGCTGAAACCACTTCAAGTTCAGCTTCAGGAGCAACAGAGCCAAGAGAGAGTACAAGAACTCTGATAACTTTTAGAACACCATCTTCTGATACCACTAAAAGTACACGTTCAGGATCAACAACGCCATCAGACAGTTCCAGAAGTTTGCTAACAGCAATGTCCAGGACACCATCTTCTGAAACCACTGCAGGTGCACCAACTGGCGCCACAGGTACAAATGATTCTTCAACTAGCCTCCCAAAAGCAACCACTTGGACACTATCTGCTGAAACCACTTCAAGTTCAGCTTCAGTAGCAACAGGGCCAAGTGAGAGTACAAGAAGTCTGATGACATCTAGGACACCATCTCTTGAAACCACCTCAAGTGCACCTCCTGCAGCAACAGCTACACCAGATTCTTCATCAAGTCTCCCAAGTGCAACCTATGGGACACTCTCTGCTGAAACCACTTCAAGTTCAGCTTCAGGAGCAACAGAGCCAAGAGAGAGTACAAGAACTCTGATAACTTCTAGAACACAATCTTCTGATACCACTAAAAGTGCACGTTCAGGATCAACAGCGCCATCAGACAGTTCAAGAAGTTTGCTAACAGCAATGTCCAGGACACCATCTTCTGAAACCACTGCAGGTGCACCAACTGGCGCCACAAGTACAAATGATTCTTCAACTAGCCTCCCAAAAGCAACCACTTGGACACTATCTGCTGAAAGGACTTCAAGTTCAGCTTCAGTAGCAACAGGGCCAAGAGACAGTACACGAAGTCTGATGACATCTAGGACACCATCTCTTGAAACCACCTCAAGTGCACCTCCTGCAGCAACAGCTACACCGGATTCTTCATCAAGTCTCCCAAGTGCAACCAATGGGACACTATCTGCTGAAACCACTTCAAGTTCAGCTTCAGGAGCAACAGAGCCAAGAGAGAGTACAAGAACTCTGATAACTTCTAGAACACCATCTTCTGATACCACTAAAAGTGCACATTCAGGATCAACAGCGCCATCAGACAGTTCAAGTAGTTTGCTAACAGCAATGTCCAGGACACCATCTTCTGAAACCACTGCAGGTGCACCAACTGGCGCCACAGGTACAAATGATTCTTCAACAAGCCTCCCAAAATCAACCACTTGGACACTATCTGCTGAAACCACTTCAAGTTCAGCTTCAGTAGCAACAGGGCCAAGTGAGAGTACAAGAAGTCTGATGACATCTAGGACACCATCTCTTGAAACCACCTCAAGTGCACCTCCTGCAGCAACAGCTACCCCAGATTCTTCATCAAGTCTCCCAAGTGCAACCTATGGGACACTCTCTGCTGAAACCACTTCAAGTTCAGCTTCAGGAGCAACAGAGCCAAGAGAGAGTACAAGAACTCTGATAACTTTTAGAACACCATCTTCTGATACCACTAAAAGTGCACGTTCAGGATCAACAGCGCCATCAGACAGTTCAAGAAGTTTGCTAACAGCAATGTCCAAGACACCATCTTCTGAAACCACTGCAGGTGCATCAACTGGCGCCACAGGTACAAATGATTCTTCAACTAGCCTCCCAAAAGCAACCACTTGGACACTATCTGCTGAAACCACTTCAAGTTCAGCTTCAGTAGCAACAGGGCCAAGAGACAGTACAAGAAGTCTGATGACATCTAGGACACCATCTCTTGAAACCACCTCAAGTGCACCTCCTGCAGCAACAGCTACACCAGATTCTTCATCAAGTCTCCCAAGTGCAACCTATGGGACACTCTCTGCTGA